GTGATTGGCTGATTAGAAATTAAGTGTTAGCGAGCAGTTGGACAGGTGTACCTAATAAAGTGGCCGGTGAGTGTATGTCCTGTTGTATCTGTCTGTTGTTCAGCACTTTGGTTGGCCTTGTGCTGTTTTAAGTTCTTTATAAATAAAAGTGGTATGGTATGGTATGGTATGGTATGGTATGGTATGGTATGGTATGGTATGGTATGGTATGGTGTCCTGTTTATGCCATAAAGTAATATAAATGTGAGAATCATGCTATTCGTTTACATCCCTGAAGCTTCTGCAGTAAAAGTTTTTTTTTTGTTTAAAATTCTCCAGATACAGTTTATTGTTATTTACAAATTATATCTATTATCCAAACTTTTTAATGTGCATTTTAAAAACAAACACATATACTAACAGAAAAAGTGCTTCAGGGATATCTGTTTGTTTGTTTGTTTGTTTGTTTGTTTGTTTGTTCCTTTTGATGCTGTCCAAAAAACAATTATCTTGCTGGTCAAGTAAAAAATTTAAAGTTTAAAATTAAAAGCAGAGGCAGTCTAATGTGGCACATTTTCAAAACAAAATCAAAATAATATTTAGATATGCCAAACACCTAATATTGTTTGATTTATTATGACAGTAGACAACAATTTTTCCGAGTGCTTAATTTCTGTTTGACTATCCTGATTTGTTTCCATGATGCTAAATGTCATGCTTTTACTTTGAAAAACCAAAACTCCACCGGTTGTCTTCCGACAGTCTGAGCTTGCACKGGTTAAAAAGAAGGACGTGCAGAATTTACTTTAAAACTACAAGGATATTGCTGTGTAAAAGTGCCATGTGCTCCTCAGTTTCTCAAAGTTGCCTTTACCTTCGAGTAATCGATGTTGCCGAGGCCTCCGCAGCAGTCCAGCAGCTCAGGATGTTGGTTTTCAYCCAGCTGTTTGTGCTGAGCAGCTGCGACGTCGCTGCCTTTCATCCACTCTGCGCGGCAGACCGCGCGCTCACGGGCATGTCAGGATGATAACAAATGTTGCACAAAAACGAGGAAAAGGTCCTAATTTTGGCACTAAGATTAGGCTGCAGGCCTAGCTAATGTGGCATACATGACCATATAACCTATAACCTCCCGCTCGGGGYATTCTGGGTAATGTAGTTTGTGGTTATCTGAAATGTAGGCCACTCAACTAAAGCACACAGTGTCACTTGTTTTCATTGAATTTATTTATTTTCAAGGACAGTTTTGCTACACACATTTTCTCCAAGATTTATTACTTGTGATTATTATAATTATATTTTCTTAGTTTTCTCTACTGCAAATGTTCTCATCTACAGCGACACCTGCTGGTTCAATCAAAGACCAACAGGACATGTTTTTATTCATAGTGCAAAACTTAAAGGTAATTAAAGCCTAATACCAAAAGTCCAGTTCACATATTTTTTACTCTTTAATATTTATCATTGTACAACAGACAAAAAGCAAAAGTTCACTTTTTTTTCAATTGTCTGTTTATGTGTGTTTGTTACCAAAATCTCAAACCACTGAACAAGTTTTACTYAAATTTGCAGCAGCTGAGTCAGTATGGCTGCTGCAGGCAGCTGACTCTAAAAAACACAAAAATTGCCAGAACTTAGTCAGTTTTACAGACACTGACCTAAAGTTTAGTGTGGTAGTGGCTGAGAGTCATTCACAACATATCCTGAAATTAATTTACCTGTAACTATTTGGAGTCAACTCTTTTAGCGAAATAACCCATTTTAATAACACCTTTTGAAAATAACCACTGAATACACAGCTGATCATTTTTTACAGTAAACAAAGTTCAAGGTGGCTGCRACAGTCAAATAACTCAGATTAACAGATAACAGATTTTATGCTAAAATATGCTGTGGTTGTAGCTGAAAGTCATTCTGAGCCCGGCCCCTGCATATTGATTGAGCAACATCTTTGTGTAAAACTTTGACATTAACTGTTGGCATCAACACTGATTGTTTGTTAGCAAAATATCTCATGAAACCTGGTAGTTGGACATGAATGAAACTATCAAACAGTAATGATGAATAACACTTCTAGGACAGATCAACTTTTGAGTCAATGATTTCATGATGGATGCCACAGCTTATTAAAATTAACCAACACAGCTTGACAGAAATCTAATGTTTCTTCTGTTTACACCTGAGACCTGTTTATGAATCAAATGTTCTTTATGCAATACATAACAACTTTCTTCACTTTTCTCATTTTGTGCTCGTCTGTGTTCTTTCCTTTTTTTTCACCCCGACCACATACTGTTTTCTTGGTGTTGATCAGTTAAGCAGAAGACACTTCACGCGGTGGGAGAAACGGAGGGAGAGCGTAAAAGCCTTGGCGCTCCCTGACCGAGCATAACCGCTGTTCATCAGAGCAACTGAGCAGGAGAAGAAAGAAAGTATGACATCCAGCCGGCAGGTGAAGATGATGTCTTCTTCCCTCTTTTTCCCTCTCGRGTGGAAGCTGCATGGGGCATCTAGTCCATCAGGTGAAAACATTTTGAAACAGCTTGTTCAGCTCCACTAAGGCTCCGCAAGGACAGAAGCAGAGCAGCAGGGTTGGGTTAGGGTTACAGCTATTTTGGAGCTTTGGCAGCCATCTTAAARCAGGTTGACTCCAAAAGATCTGAGAAGTACACTCGTCTATTTCTCAACAACACTAAACATTTATGCAGTGATACATGAGATATTTTGCTAACAGGCAGACACATGAACACACAAACATGGGTAAAAACATTACTGCATTCAGTGGTGGGTCATACCATACCATACCATACCATACCATACCATACCATACCATACCATACCATACCATGCTATACCATACCATACCATACCATACCATAACATACCAGACCATACCAGACCATACCATACCATACCA